AAACTGTTCTGTTAACTACTTACTTTTGGATTATTTATTACGTTTTAGACTTAATTCTTATTGTTAATTGTTTAAAACTGAAATGGAAAAGTGTCGGCTGGCCTTGTCTTCACGAGAGACGTCATCACGACCGGGTCCGGATTTAGGGTTGTGACAGAAAACCAAAAATGGGAAATATTGCTTGACAATTTTCTGTTAAGCTAGGAAAATTCACATTAATACTGTCTTGGGCTGCTTTCCAACCATGCCCCATGGCCCATTAGACGCGCCCCATGGCGTCCTGGCAATCCTCTCAATGCCCAGCGCCATGGTCGGCCCCGTGGTCTTGGCAGCGCCAAGTGACAAGTGCGCATGTGCCTCTGTCGCCCCACTGATAGCCCTCGCTAGCGTCCAGCAGCTGGCAGATGCCAACAGTTCCGCGCGCACAGACCATGATATTAATAGCTCGCGCACACAGACAATGCCATACGCATATACCATGATGATGCCAACAGCGTCGCGCGCACAGACAATGCCGCACGCGCAGATCCTGATGCCTCGCGAGCGCCCAACCGCAGGCAGATTCCAATAGCGCCACACGCACAAACAATGTCACGCGCGCAGACCCTGATTCCAAGTGCCAGCGCCCAGTCGCAAGCAAATGCAAATAGTGTCGTGCTCGCCGACAGCACCACGCGCGCAGACCCTGATGCGAAAGACAAGGTTGCTGCTAATGGGCCTGTTTCTACCTTATAGAAAACTAAGTCTTTTTCATTGTAAATATAGAGTAGTTTCATTTCATTTACTTTCAGTGTGCCTCTACAACTTAGTTAGGTCAAGACATGTAACTTTGGTTAATTGTTTTTAAGCATTATTAGGGGCGATCAAGCAATCAAACAATCAACTCACTGTACTGGTGTCTCTCCCCCTCGACACCACATAGTCTTTTGTAATATCTTTCATTAATGCAATCAAGCTTTCATTATCAATTCTCAATTGCTCTTAATATTGGTTTTCCCCGTACGACATTGACAATCTCGTCTAGCGTACGGAGGGGACCTCAGTTGGCGGACAACAACTGCACTGACATCGGTTGCTTAACCTTACGTCGCTCTTCCAAGGAATCTCAAGAAGGCGTCGCGTAACATTGGTATCAGAGCCTAGGCTTGGCATCGGACGAGGGAACACATTGCCATAACCACCATTTTTTACCATGGTGAATTATGGGGATCGCATCGCGGTCCTTGAAGAGACGATTGACACATTACGGCGCATTGTGGATACGGTGCCTGAACTAAGAACCAGCCCAGTGTAAAAGATGGACGACCTGGACCACAAAATGCTCCAGGCCTAAGTTGACATAGGGAACATCAGTCGCGACTCTGAAGGGAGACCGGCAAACGGCACCCACAAAGGCAGCCAAAATTTATGGCAAATTTAAGGACCTCCAACAGGAGCGCACCGAGGATTTAGCCCATAGGGAACAAGAGGCAAACATGGTGATTGCCATGCAGCAAACCATAGACAACTTGACAAGCCAGCTTAATGTTGTCAATGCTGCACTACAAAGCCTATTTTGAGGAGGCAAAAACCAAATCTGGGGTGCTGTGAACCTTGCCCATGTGCCAGAAAACTGAAAATTCCTAAGCCAAAGCCATACAATGGAGGTCGGGATGCTAAAGAAGTGGAGAACTTTATCTTCGACATCGAACAATAATTCAATGTCATGGGAGTTGAAAGAAGCCAAAAAGTAGCAACTACTGCCATGTATCTTCAGGGTGATGCTAAACTCTGGTGGCGGGTGAAATATGAAGCCATCAGGGCCGGGGAAGATACTCTCAAAACATGGGCAGAACTGAAGACAGCCACACGCCTGTAGTTCTTCCCCGAAAACGTTGAATACAATGCACAAAGAAAGCTACGGGAGCTCTACCAGAACAGGTCAGTGCGAGATTACGTGCAGGATTCTCCGCGCTCATGCTAAACATATGTGATATGGGGGACAAAGACAAACTCTTCGCATTTACAGAAGGTTTGAAACCTCATGCCCGTATGGAGCTGCAAAGACAAAGGGTAGATACCCTACCCAAGGCAATCCAAGCGGCGAAATGCCTTGGCAATTGTCATATGGAAACTTACAAAGACGGGCCTCAGCCGCCTGTCCGAGGAGGATACAACAGGAGCCAGCCTAGCAATGGTGGCCCTAGCAGAAGCGGAGGGGATCAGAGTGCAACCAAACCTAAGACTCCCTCCTCAAGCAGCAACAATGTTGCATCCGTCAACAACAATCAAAGGAGGAAGCCTCCTTCAGAATGCTGTCATTGTGGCGGGTCACATTGGAACAATGAATGCCCACATACAAAGATGAATGCTCATCAAACTGTTGAGGATGGGTCAGATGACGACTTAGACGAGGCAGAACAAGTAGATGCCTTCAATGCAATTGTTGGCTCTATCCTTGATACCTTAGCGGGAACCAGTGCTGGTATCCATCAGAAGGACTCATGCCCAATCGCCAAGAAAGGGAAAAAGAATGCAGATGAGAGGCCTCCTCCTACACAAGAGAGGACCTTAATGTCCGTCGAAATGAAAGTAAACGGCAAACCCATTCGGGAAATGACAGACACGGGTGCTACCTATAACTACTTAGCCTCGACTCAGGTGGAGCGCCTCAGTCTAGTTGTGGAAAAGAGTAGGGGTCGTGTCAAGGCTATCAACTCACCACCCCATCCAGTGAGTGGAATAGCCAAACAAGTGCCAATGAAGCTTGGCCCTTACGAAGGAAGATTCAACCTACGTGTGGCAATCATAGATAACTTCGAATTGATAGTGGGATTGGAATTCCTGAGGCAAACCAACACCATACAGGTACCTTATGCCAACATGCTCCTGATGATGGGAGAAAACGGTGCCAAACCCCGCATTATACCATGCATGCCCATAAAGATGGCCGCTGAAAACATCTCGGCCATGCAGCCGAAGAAGGGAGTCAAAAGACATGAACCTATGGTTATGGCTACCCTCAACAATAAGAATCACAAATCATATCATCGGCCTCAAACGACTGATGACGCCCCTCAATGTGTGAAGACTTGTCTAGCATGTCAGAAGGACAAGTTGGACCGATCAACACAAACGGGACTCTTGGAGCCACTACCTGTCCTAAAAAGACCTTGGGAAAGTGTTTCCCTGAATTTTTTCACAGGATTACCCAAGGTCGGAGATCTTGCAACTAACTTAGTTGTGATAGATCGGGTTTCCAAGTATGCCACCTTTATAGTAGCCCCACAAAACATATCAGCAGAAGATACAGCTCGACTCTTCTTCTCCCATATTGTCAAATATTGGGGCCTGCCCAAAGACATCGTTAGTGACCGCGATTCACGCTTCACTAGCAACTTTTGGACCCAACTCTTTAGGTGCCTCAGGTCAAAATTAAGTCACAACTCAAGCTTTCATCAACAACCTGATGGACAGATGGAACGGTTCAATGACATGCTAGAGGAATATCTCCGCCACTTTGCAATCGGATCATAGAAGAATTTGGTGAAGCTTCTAGATGCTGCTCAACTGTGTTTCAATTCATAACAGAGCTCTAGTACAAACAAAAGCGCTTTTGAAATTGTTACCAGACAACAACCGCTACTCCCACAAACTGCGAATGCACCAAACATGTTAAAATCTCCTCGAGCTGTTAACTTCTCGAGGGAATGGGAGCGAATTTGGAGATAGTGTGGAGCTATCTTGTCAAATCCCAAGAGCGGGCGAAGAAGTATGTCTATCAAAATCTTCACTTTGTTCAACACCAAACAGGAGACAAAGTGATGGTAAAAATCCCAAAGCGGTACTTGTTTGCAGAGAGGACCCATGACTCTCGCCTATTGCAAAAATACATCGGACCCTTATCCATTGAAAGAGCAAAGGGAAAGCCACATACCGAGTGAATACCCCAGCCTAGTGGAAGATCCATCTAGTCTTCCATGTCAGTCGTCTGAAATCTTTTCGGAAAGACATGTAGCATCATTCACAAAGCCAACTCACAAGACCGAGGGGAACAGACCTTCAAGCCTACAAGAGCCTGATCAATCATCACCTTGCAGGTAAGGCTCTGAGGACGTCGCCAACTCACGTGGTGGAGAATGTCATGGGCTGCTTTCCGGTCATGCCCTATGACCCCTTAGACGTGTCCCATAGCATCCTGGTAAGCCTCCCAGCGCCATGGTCGACCACGTGGTCTCGGCAGCGTCAAGTGACAAGCGCGCATGTGCCTTTGTCGTCCCACCGATAACTCTCGCCAGCGCCCAGTGGTGGCTGGCAGATGCCAACAGTGTCACACGCACAAACCATGATGATGCCAACAGCGCCGCACACACAGACAATGTCGTGTGCGCAGATCCTGACGCCTCGCCAATGCCCAGCCACAAGCAGATTCCAACAGCGTCGCGCGCACAAACAATGCAGCACGCGCAGACCCTGATGCCAAGTGTCAGCGCCCAGCCACAGGCAGATGCACATAGTGTCGTGCGCGCCGACAGCACCGCGCGCGAAGACCCTGATGCGAAAGACAAGGTTGCTGCCAACGAACCTGTTTCTACCTTGTAAGAAACTAAGTCATTTTCATTGTAAATATAGAGTAGTTTCATTTCATTTACTTTCAGTGTGCCTCTACAGCTTAGTTAGGTCAAGTCATGTAACTTTCGTTTATTTTTTTAAAGCATTATTAGGGGGATCAAGCATTCAAACAATCAAGCAAGCAAACAATTCTCTATACTGGTATCTCTCCCCCTCGACATCGCGCAGCCTTCTATAATAGCTTTCATTCTCAATTGCTCTTGACATTGGTTTTCCTGTACAGCACTGACAATCTCGTCTAGTGTATGGAGAGAACCTCAGTTGGCGGACAACAACTGCACTGATATCAGTTGCTTAGCCTTACGTCGATGTTCCAACAAATCTCAGGAAGGCGCCGTGTAACAATACTTATGCTTTTTCTTTATCCAAAACTTGACCTTTGGAGAAAGTGTTCTTACAAGATTTTTTATTCACTTGCTATTATCCTATCCCATGGTAATATCTAGATAATCGTTTTTCTTTACTGCCAAATATAGAATCTTTATAAGTGACGAAATAATAAAGCCTACAAATGATTTACGCACTAGAAAAAGACATTTATATTTATTTTTGGTCAGAAGACAGACATATCAAGTCACCGCCAAAGTCTGGCGGAGGCCAGTCTCAGAACAAAAAAGTTTGCGAATGAGGAAGAATTCCCATATAAAGGCCTTCGCTTGACGTGGTGCAAGCACAAAGATGTAGATGCTAGCAACTTGTGTCTTTTCCTGTATAAAGATAAAAGTTTCATCAGGCCAGCCATATGGGAATTCAGATGTTTAATTCAGATGCGCAAAATGATCCCACAAAAAAAGAATTGGTTCTCTGAATCTTAATTTTGAGGAACTGGATGTTGTATAGGATGCTGAATTTGGTAACTACTTTAATTGCAGTTCGATTAATATAATACTAAATTGATATTATGTTTGATTGAACAGCTATCCAGTTTGTAGAATTGGAATAGTTCTCTTCAGAAGAATCCAAATAAAGGAAAAGCGATGATAACTCACCCTTATGGAGTGCAACTAGTTGATAAATGTTACTCCATGTAAGAGAGAAATCCTAAGGCTGACCTTGAAGATGTTAATGTTCCCTAACCCAAATTCAGTCGCAGGCCACTAAGTAGAGAACATACTAAGTGCTTAAGAAAGAAGAATGAGAACTTCCCAGACCTAGAGAAATTTCAGTAATTTAAGTGGTTTTACTTCTGTGGATGGCATGAATACCTAGCATGGATAACCAAGTCGATCCTGAGGCAAGAAGAAGTTCACCCAGCTCCTAGTTGAATACTCCATTTGAAAATCGTCGAGTTATTAAAGGCGAAAAGTGTAGACTTAAAGAGCAAAGCACCATTAAAATGTGGTCTTTAGCGAAGAATGACAACTACCCAGACCTAGAGGAATTTCAGCAACTTAGGTAATTGTTGCCAGCATGAGCGGTTAATTATTAAATATAAAAAAGAGTAAACTACAAATTGACTGCACTGGGTACACTTGTTTCACTGGCATTGAATAAAAATAAAAATGACAGGTGATTCAAGTCAACTTCTTTTGGGCAGACTAGAAACAACTTGCAACACGTACCTCACCATATTTAAAATGGAAGAAGCAGCTATAGTTCAGAGTTAATAAGCTCCTCAACCGAGCCTTTGTACTTTGAAATAAGATCCCTGGAATTAAGCATGAATCACGTCCATCAGAAAAAAGAAGCAAATGCAAATTATACTACTTTCAGTAGAAACATTCAGAAATATAACAAAAAGTATCTCCACCAGGATACAGACCTGCGCTGATTTAGCAATTGTTCGCACTCTGCCTTTTTGCGCTTTTGTCCCTCAACTGTCTGTCAAAAGAACACATGAATGGTCAATTTTTATCCACATTGAAGCATCACAATATACAACAGAATTATAATTTCTGGAGTAACTTTGTTCAAGTGATCATCATGTCAAACATAATAAACCACACTTTTCTGTAAAATTCTTTACAACTATAAGTTGCACAAACAGGCCTAATATAAGAGCACCATTAAAAGCAATTATATGGCCAAAGTAAACAAATACAACTCTTACAGTAAATAATNCAGCTGCTGGCACTTCTCAAACTGGTTTTTCAATTCAGTAACCTTGTGAAGCAAAAAGTAACTTCGTTAAACTAGAACAAATGGCAAACTAACATGTATGATCAAATTATCAAATAATGCATCAGTTAAAATATGAACAAACCAATGCATCTGAGTGCTGATCTCGGTTTCCATTTTCAATAGCATCAGCTAAATTCTCCACCAACTGTAAGATGACAATTAAAGTTAGAACGAAAGGTCTCACTAAGAAATAAAAATGCCTCGTTACTCCACTGAAATAGCAATCTATAGATAATCCATCGATCATGGTTTTTGCCTAGTACTTGTAGAAGATGGAAGTGAGAGGCAAGTGATTGATGGTGCTGTTGTTGCTGTTGTTGCATCTGCTGTTGCTGCTGCTGGATTTGCTGATGTTGTTGCTGAATTTGTTGCTGTTGCATCTGCTGTTGATAGCGTTGTTGTTGTTGTTGTTGTTGTTGTTGCTGCTGCTGCTGATAGAGCTGTTGCGGTTGATTGAACTGTTGCTGCTGAAATTGCTGTTGCTGCAGAAATAATTGGTCTTGATTTGAGGGTGTGGAAGGATTGCTGTGAGTTTGGATGTTGGGGATCATTGTCCAACTTCCTCCTCCAAAGTGGTCCATAGCTAATGGCTGTTTAGCTGGCAAACAAGAACCAGGTGCTACTTTTCGTTCTGAAAATGGATAAACAGAATTTAATATGTCATCAAATGTAATCCTGTAATAAATAAATAGCCAAAACTAGTAAAACATGAACTGGTCTAACGGAATGAATAGCAAAGAGAAATAATTCTAAATAATCTGAAAGGTCACTTCATATGTTTCTTATCATTCCTAAATGACATTTCATCCGCATCTTATTACCAGAATTATTCCTTGCTATCAAAGAGAATAAAACCCTCAAGTGAGACCCCTCAAAGCTGAAGCCAATGCATTGTATTGTAACTAAAAGTAATTATATCCAAGTAACACCTGTCATAACTTCTAAGCAGTTGTATGGTGTGCAAATTGTTATCAAAAGGTATATTAAAAAAAGTTAAAAAACTACAACTGCAAGTATGCCTTAATTCCAAGCAACTCAAAAGGATATTTTTTTTGATGAAGTAAGAGATATTATAAATGGCATCAAGAAGATGCAGAAATATAGATACAAAAGATTTGTTAGCTCCAGTACAAAGAGTCCTATACTAATGTTAAAGAGCTAACAAAGTCCAAAAAATTGTCAGGGGAGTTTACAGGTGTTAAGGTACTCCAACTGTACAAAAGTAAAAGACATTTAGCCTTAAGGAAGTGGTTTGGAATTGCTATTCCATCAAAACATCTCCTATTCCTCTCATTCCAAATACACCAAAAAAATACAGAAAGGGATTAGTTTCCAGATTTTCTTGATGGTTGTACCAACTTTCCAACTATTCCAGTTCAAAAAGGCTTCCTTTAAACTCCCAGGCATTGCCCAGTCCATTCCAAAAAGAGACAAAAACATGTTCCATAGATCTGCTGAAACTGGGCAGTGTAGTAGAAGGTGCCTGGTTGTTTCTTCATTTTGCATGCACATGTGGCATTTGTTTGCCAAGTGGAAAGATCTTCTAGCTAAATTGTCTTGGGTCAAACATGCTTCATAAAGTGCAATCCAACCGAAACAAATCAAAAGGATATATTATCTAATAAAAAGTTCATGACAAAACATAACAAACATACACTATCACCTTCCCCTTTTAGTTTGTTTCTGCATATTCAAAAATTGAATTCAAACAGAACAGAATCTCTAATCAAGTCCCTCAAGGATGCAAAAAGAATTTAAAAAAAATTAGATAGTTAAAAGGAGAAATGACTCAATCTCAAATGCACCTTCTTACTCTTTATCTCTATTTTAGTTCAATAATCAAAAAACGACTATGCCTCAATCCCTAATTAGTTGGGGCCAGCCATACAAATTCTCAGTATCCATTTGGACCCATTCATTCCAATATTCAACAATTTAGGTTTTATAACACCAGAAATTCTCTACATTTTCTACTGACATAAAGATTTCAAATAAGATTAAAAATACCCCTAGCAAACGTTGGACAGTAACAGTTATTACTCACTAGGACAAGGATGCATCGAATCCCTCATTAATCAGCACTTAGAAAAGAAATTGCACAAAAATCTCCTTATCAATGAAAGTAACAGTTTTTGGGTCAAAATCACAACCTAAGAAAAATCCCTTTATTGAAATCCACAACTAATACAGCTAACAACGAAGCAGAGGTACGTGGAGGTACATAGAGAAGGAGAAAGATTACCAGATATGAAAAGCCGGATCTGATTGTGCAGACAGTGAATGTAGCAGCGCTTGAGCCAACAATGGAAAATTCTCTGCTTTTGTGAAATCTCCGGTCGTCGTTTCTGTTTACTACTGGAGTTGGAGTATTATTTTTGAGCAAACAAAGTCCTAATTACTGTTTTCCTTTTTACCAAAGAGTGCTTACTGTTTACTTATTTACTTTACTTTTTCTCCTCCACTTACCCTGGAGTTTCAAAAGCGGCTAAAGGCACCATTAATTATTGGATTTTTATTTTACTTTTCATCTCGTATCCAATTACTCATATTAGGATTCGCGCTGTATAAAATCTTCATAGCAGAATTTTTTACATGGACTCGAATTCGATATTGATTAAGGATGGACGACCTTAGGTGCGTTCGTCGGTCGGTATGGTACGATATTTAAATATTTCGGTTCGGTATTTTCGGTATTCGATTTCTTAAAATATTATACCAATACTGTACCTAGTTAAATTCGATATGGTTTGGTTTTTCTTCTTTCGGTTTCGATTTATTCGGGTTGGTAACTTTGGTTTATTCAGTTTGAGTACTAACTAGTGCATAGAGTCATAGATTATAAAATTCTTAATTAAAGTACTCAAAAGTATAAAATTAAAAATATTTGTTAATAAAAGTTTTGTCCAAAACTAGCAAATATCAACCAAAGAGAGAAAACCAAGGGTGTCTAACGGGTGGGTCGAACCGGGCTGGGTAGGGAAATTTAGTAAGCATACGGGTTGTGGTCCGGGCCAGTTACGGGTGGGGCATACCGGGTTTAATGGGTTTAGGTTCATCCGGGTAAAAATTGAACCGTAAGGATTACGGGTATAAGGGGCCAGGCCGGGCCGGGTTAGTGTAATTTTTAATATTTGTTTTGTATTTTATTTTTGTATAACTATTGTAAGTTATATTAATATAAAGTAAAAAAATAAAGAATACAATGAAAATGGGAAAAAATTGCACTTATAAATTGCAAGTGCTACATTTATTTCAAAATTCAAACTTACAAATTGAAAAGTTTGCATTTAACAAGTAAATTAATGAAAAAAGAGTAAATTCAAAGGCCTCATTGTTTAAAAAAAAATTAAGTGGGCGTTATACCTGTATGGGTCGGGCCGGTTAACCGGTTAATAAAAATTGTTGACCGGGTTTGACCGGTCCGGTTAACCGGTAGCCCCAAGGTGAACTAACCAAACCCCCTTACCCCTTTAACTTAGCCCCCTTCTACCGGTCCGGGCCGGTTCCGGTTTTTAACCGGTTTGGGCCGGTCCGAAAACGGGCTGAACCGGCCCGTTAGACACCCATAGAGAAAACTATACATAAAAGAATAAATTTGATCATTCAAATGCGTGTCTCTTGGACTCTACATGTATTGACTTAGGTGTTGCATACTATAGGCAATGTCAAGTTTGGTGTTAGTGAGAAAGTTCAGTTTCCTTATCAGTTTCCTGTAATGAGATGGGTCTTCTCTTATCCCATCATCTGCTCTGAGTTTAATTGAAGAGTCAAGAGGTGAGGACATTGAAGGACATCTTAAACTATTGTGTTCTTTTAGTAGATATTGAGCAAACTTCCTTTGTGTAAGCAGAACACCGCCTGCAATGTACAATACTTTTATTCCTAGAAAGTAGTGAAGTTTACCTAGATCCTTTATTTTGAATGTCTTATCTAAGAACTTCTTTAGTGAAAGGATTTCCTCCGTATCTTTGCTAGTCAATATAACATCATCCATATAAACTGCTACAAAAACCACTGAATTCCCTTTCTTTCTGGAGAAATATGAGTAGTCCAACATTGAATGTGTGTGGCCCCTGGAACAAAGTGCTTCGGTTAACTTGGCATATCATTTCCTACTTTCCTATCTCAAACCATACAAAGATTTGTTCAACTTACACACAAGGTTAGACTTATGCACCATGAGGCCTTGTGGTACTTGCATTTACACTTCCTCATATAAATCTCCATGGAGGAATGCATTATTAACATCAACCTGATACATTTCTCAACCTTTCATCATTGTTGTGGCAATTAAAGCTCTCACAGTTGTCATTTTCACAACTGGAGAAAAAGTTTATTTATAATTCACTCCTGGTTGTTAGGTATAGCCATTCACCACTAGTCTGGCCTTTAGCCTCTCCACTGTACCATCTGCTTTGTGTTTCACTTTATATATCCACTTGCATCTTGTCGCTCTCTTCCCTGCCGGAAGGGGTACAAATTCCCAATTATGGTTTGCATAAAGTGCTTCAAACTCATGTGTCATGGTTGCTTGCCATGCAGGATCTAGAATTGCCTCCTCATATGAACCGGGTTCACAATCATATGAGATATTGGTAACTAATTGATGACTATCATGTGTTAGATCATTAAGAGATATATATTGTGTATTGGAGCCAGATGTACTGAATGAGAAAGATGGTGTACTATCTACTGGTGTAGTGTTAGAAGAAGGATCATTATGATTGGATTGTAACCTGGGAAGTGTAACCACATAATCTTTCAAATAGGTAGGTGTTTTGTGTATCCTGGAGGATCTTTGTACAGTTGGATTCAGTGAAGGTTGTTGGTTATCATAACTGGAAGAATTTCTGGTAGAGTTAGAGACATGAGAAGGAGGTATGTTGATGACAAGCGCAAAACGCCACTTAAATTATGCTCGCTAATAAAAAAATAGTATAGTAAATTATCGTATCCACAAGGATTGGAGTTAAATAGTATTATCGTAGTTTCTAGTTTGATTGTTATCCAAGATGATCAACAATTGATATTTATGTGATTAATACGAAAATTAACTAAGAATCTAGAGCTAATTGGCTAATGACAATTGAAGCAATGAATAAGCTAGGGTTTTGATAGGATAGGTGCAAGATAATTATCTGGGATTTAACTATAGATAATTTACTTCTAATGTTCAAGTGAGTCTCTTGAATTCACTCAATTATTAGTTCGATTGTTTAGTAGAAACTCCTCTTTCGATTAAGTCTCAACCTCACGAGATGAACCAATTTAAGTTTTGTGAAGATATGCAAGAATGCGTAATGGATTGGTCTTTAGGAGAACCTCTCTCGATTATCCTCCTAACTAGGTTTAATCAATGATTCAACTAGCCTTTTTTGATTATTAAGAAGAATTAATGAATCAACCAATAATATAATGCAAAGATATCACAAGCTATGCTTCTCTAAATTACATGAACAAGTGAATATAGATGCAATAATTAAATCATCCAAAAATGCTTCAATACATAAAACTAGAGTTATAATTCACAAACAAATATTAATACACCAAATCCATCAAATACTAAAGAGAACTACTCCATAAACATGGAGAAATTCATCACAAATAAAATTAAAGTATAAGAAAACATAAATTCAATCCAAACTCGGGTCTTGAGTGAGGAAGGAATAATGAAATCCTTGTGCTTTTGCTCCTCCAACTCTTTCTTAGCCTCCTTAGGTCGATTATGTGTCAAAAGTCCAAAAAATAACTTTTTCCATGTATTTATACCAAGTAGGGTCGGGCCTAGATGAAACTACCTTCTCCTAGTCGAATCAGGACATTGGCTCTATAAAAATTGCACAGACGTGCCGCATTGGGCGACGCACCATACAGGGCATTAGTGGGGAAATCTAGAGAGCTAACGATTTGACAGGCAGCAAAATTTAGGCAGCCGCGACGCCCCAAGTGCCGCTCCATGCGTCGTTGCTGTCGAGGTTTCTTAGAGCAAGGTTTTTTCCTTACTTTTTGATATCCAGATGTGGTTCTCGACCCCCGAACGCGATCCCGACTTGATCCTTTGGGCTTTTACTCATACTCCAAAGCTCCAAATAGCTCGAATTAATTTCATAACATCTACATCACTCGAAAAATCACTCCTACAAGGCATAAAACACATAATAAGTACAAAACACTAACAATTTAAGCTCAAACACAATAAAAGTGCAATGAATTAGAATACGATAAGCGACTAAAACACGAGATTATATCCTACCATCAGTTAATGCCTTGATTAGCTATACTACATGAGGTGTTAGGTGACTGTGAGTGGTAATGTGAGCTTATGGGATTATGATCAGTGAAGGAGGTGTCAATATGAGGGATAACTCCTATTCTTCTTGTAGCCGGAGCAAAACCATTGGTTTCATAAGAAGAGAAATCACCAACATTCTAAGGAATAACATTATTAGCAGTAGAAGTCTTAGGACCAGAAGATAAAGGAAAGGAAAAATGTGTTCATGGAAGATTAGATCTCTAGATGCATGGATCTTCTTGGTGGCCAAATTCAACACCTTTGTAGCCTTTTATCCCAAAAAGATATCCCACAAATACATGAGGTGTGGATCTAGGTTCAAATTTATCTTTGTGAGTTTTAAGAGTTGTGGAAAAATAAAGGTAGCCAAAACTTCTAAGGTTTGAGTAGGCAGGCCTTTTGTTATACATCAACTCAAAGAGGCATTTATTCTTGAGGGATGAAGAAATCAGTCTGTTTATTAGGTATGTAGAAGTATGAACACACTCCCCCTAGTATCTAATGGGAAGTTTGGACTGGTATAGCAGGGCTCTGGCTGTTTCTAGCAGGTATTTATGTTTCTTTTCCACTATCCCATTTTGCTAGGGTATGTAGGGGCAAGTTCTTTGATGTAGAATCCCTTTGTCTTGAAAGAAAGAAGTATTTAGATTCTGTGAACTCCAAACCATTATCAGTTCTTATGATTTTTTACTGAAGTGGTAACTAAGTTTCAACCATTGCAATAAACCCTTTGAGGACATGTAAGGCATTGTTTTTGCAACTCAGCAGATGTGTCAATGTTGATTTTCTATAATAATTTACAAGGGTGATGAAGTATCTATAGTTATTATGGGTTATGATGTGGTATGGTCCCCACAAATCAATATGTAATAACTCAAATATCTTGGTAATAGAATTGATCTTTTCTAGAAAAGGGCAATCATGTCTGCCTGGCTATTGGGCAAATGTTACAAAGAAATGATTGTTTAGGTGCAAAAGTGGCTGGTATATATCAGATTCCTTTCATTTTGACAAAAGTCACATGGCCTAATCTATTGTGTCATACAAGATCCACAATATCCTTTTGATGTAAGGTAACATGACACACAGAATAAACATATTTATTATTAATGTTCAAAGAGCTCACATGAA